ATTTCTAGGCCTTGGACCAGGATTACCCCAGTTCTGTGTTACCAAAAGACTTGGGCCTCCTGACTACTTCTTGGCGCATGGCCATTCCCCAAGTCCTGTTGCTTTCAGACAGAAAACAAAACTCTTTCCCATCAATCCACCTTAGAGCAAAGCAGGGTGTGATTTGGGGATCTACGTATTTGTGAGGAGAGGCTGCAGCTGCGTGAGACTCGCAGGGACACAGCTGAGCCTGAGTTCTGCAAGGAGCTGCACTTTTGAATTCTGTGATGGGTTAACCGTGCATTCCTATTTGTGGCGGTTCCCAGGGTTTCCTGCTGACTTGGGGACCGGATGCAGATCGCTGTTCTGATTTTCCTGATGCTCCTGAGGGTGAGCTCCCATGTGCACCTTTGTTGAGAGGAAGGCAGGGCGATAAGCGTTTTGCTTTCTTGCATGCCATCACGCGACCTCCGGCTTATGGCAGTGCTATGAATGAGAGTCCGGTGCTTCACAGCCATATGCAGGCCTGGTAAATTCCAGGATTTAATAATAGAACTTGATTCGCTTGTTTGTTTTTAAACACTGTATTTGGAGGGCTAGGCCCTAAAATATAAAGTAAAAAATCTAGGACATGGGCCGGAAATGGTAATCTTGTCTTCCTTATCATGCTGGCAGTTGCAACCAAGTATTATCCTTTAGCAGAAAAACAGGAAGCCTTACCGAGAGAGGCCACAGTCCTGCGATTCTCCTCCATGATCTGGCTGTGCAGGGCTCTCTGGCCAGCATCCAGCAGGGCCCACTCCTCCTCTGTGAAGCACACGGTGACCTCCTCAAAGGTCACCAGAGTCTGCATGAAAAAGGAAAGTTTTCCTTATCAAGGTCACATGCTATGGTGGCTGAGCATTATTCTGCAGGTCTGAAACTCGCTTGCTCAGGAAGCAGCAGCCAAAAGGATCCTTCTCCCCTGTCCTCCTTGCATGCCTCCCAAGGGGCATCTGGGCAGCCACTGTGAGATGAGCGGTCCCTACACTGGACAGGCCTTTGCTCCCGTCCCACAGGTCTCCCTCTCTGATGATAGTTTCGCCAGATGAAGAGAAAAGCAGAGTGAATAGATGGACTCAGCTCCCCAAAGAAGTTTGCCTGGTGCCTTCTCTCTGTTCTTTGCAGCATCAGGCAAAAAACTTTTTAATTTCCCAATTTCTTTTGTTCAGGATATTTTAAAGATTTCAGTGGTGTTAATGATACCTAAGTGCAACTGTGCCACTTTATTGTGTGTTTTTATTGGTTTAATAATTTATGATACTATGTGGTTTTATTGTAGGGCTTTTTCTGTATGATTGTTACAATTTTACAGTAATATTTGCTAATATTATTGTTCTATTACGTATATTGGCACTATTGTTTAATTATATGTTGTAAACCATAAAGAGAGCCAGTTTGGCTTTGTGAAGGACAGAAATCTAATAATTAAATAATAATAAATATATGCCCCGTAGAAGGGGAGGAGAGAATCGGATGTTGTGGCTGGTTGCTGCCTCTCTCCTAAGAGAAACTTTCCCTTACCTGATCCAGTTTCACGCCTTCCTGAAGAAAAAGAGATGGATGAGTATCCATTTCTGCCAACATGCCTGCTCCTAGGAAAGACAAAAGAGAGGGGAAGCTTGTAGGGGACTGAGACCACAATTTTAAACTTGAGGGAAGGAATCCCTTGAAGTCAAGACACAGAAACATAGAAACACAGAAACAGAGCGAGTGAGATGGATTCTCCCGGGCCATCTAGTCTGACCCCCGGCGCCAGCTGGCTCCGTTCATGACATGCCCACCAAGAGAACCGACTCTCCAGCTGAATGCACAGACTTGCAGTGCAAGCGATGGATGTCTGGGTGCACACGAGTATTACAGGATGTGCACTTTTAGAATACAGGGAGGTAGAAAATGCATAGTTATCCATGTGGGCTCATAGACAAAAGTGAAATGGTCGTTGGGGTGTATGCAATCCCCATGGGTTCAAAAGTTGATATAGTTTCGAATAGCGGAAAAGAAGGGACCAGATTCTGCCCCACAAAAGCCACACATGCACACTGACCTGGCGATTGGAAAGGCCACCACCGTAGTAATCCTTACCCTGAAGGGAGAGGCACCCGTCTCGCTCCCGCTTGATCTCAGTTTCTGGTGAATGTGGCTCGGTGCCTGAGACAGCTCTCTCTGCTGCAGGGAAATCAGGCCCTGCTTCTACAAACAGATTCTTCACCTGGAATAGCAGCATAAATCCAAGATGTGGAATGAGGAGAAGAATTAGAAAAGGTGAGAGAGATGCAAAAATATTGGGAATGAGATAGGGGGATTTCACCTCAGATTCCCAGAAAGTTTGGACGTATCTTCTCTCGCATCCTTGAGCACGTGACCAATATTCTCACCTGCTCCTCCTCCAATTTGTTCTCCACTGCCTGGCTCAGGAGGAAGCCCTCCGCCAGGGCCACCGCCTGGGAACTGCTCTCTGCTCCACACTCCCTCACCCAGTTTGCCATCTCCGCTGGCAGGATGGCCAGGAACTGCTCCAGGACCACCAGGTCCAGGATTTGGGTTTTGGTGCATTGCTCTGGCCTCAGCCACTCCCGGGAAAGTCGGTGGAGTTGGTTGCAAGCCTCTCGGGGCCCCTCAGCAGCCTGGTAGCGGAGCTGCTTGAAACGCTGGCTCGGTATGTCTGAACTCGCCGCATCTTCAAGGAAGACCTTCTGCTCCATCCTTCCCCGGAAGCTTCCTTTGCTCCTGGTCTCCGTGGCAGCAGGATCTTCTTCTCCTGCACGGCTACCTGGGTTTCGGTTTGTCAGCACTGATCTATGTGCCAAGGAAAGCTCCAAGGGGGGCCAGAAACACTCTTCTCGCTTGATATGTTGGCCAATAGTACCGTACGACATGGTGCTGCAAAGGGTCTGTGGAGGCAAGAGGAGGTTCTGTTAAGGAATTAGATACTGTCAGAACACGGTGAAAGGAACAGGACTCCCGCGAGTGAACAAGTCTTGTTCGAGGAGGAGGAGCAGGCCGTATGCCAGGACTCACACGGGGACTATAGATTCCCTAGCTGCCCTTGAAGACGGTCCGGATACTTCCATTGGTGCAGAATAGAGCTGCCAGGTTGCTGACAGGGACTGGGCGTTTTTCTCATATAACCCCAGTCCTCCATCAGCTTCACTGGCTTCCCATTGAAGTCCGGGCCCAATTCAAGGTGTTGGTTATCACCTATAAAGCCCTCAATGGCTTGGGACCTAATTAACTAAGGGAGCGCCTGCGCCCATTTATGCCCTGCTGCCCCTTGAGATCTGCAGCAGAGGCCCTTCTCCGGGAGCCCTCTGTGAAAGATATTAGGAGGGTGAGTACCCGGAGGAGGGCCTTCTCTGCGGTGGCGCCCCACCTATGGAATGCGCTCCCCAGAGATGTCCGCCTGGCGCAGTTGTTATTTGTTTTCCAGTGCCAGGCCAAGAACTTTTTATTTAAACAATGTTTTAACTGTTAATTGCTGTTTCTATTTATTGGTTGTATAGTTTTGCGGAGCTGTTCTGGATTTTTAATGTCTATTGTATATTTGCTTATTTGATTTGTAAGCCGCCCCGAGTCTTTCTGGGACGTGGGCGGCATAAAAAAGCTATATATAAATAAATAGAGATTTGGGGAAGATCCTTCCCTGACCAAACTCTTTCCATTGCTTGAGGATATGAAGATGTCCCCTCTCCTGCACTCACTTAGATAGTTTTTCAAAACGCCGGCCATTCTGGGCTGCTGAATCCATCCCCCAATAGGTGCCTTGGTCTTGATAGCCCCCCCCCCCCCCGCCCGTTCTTCTGCATATTGCTTCCTGCTTTGGCCATGCCGACCAAGGCAGCAGGGACTGCAGGAGCCGGTCAGCCCCGCGCCAAATCGCCCCGGGACCATCGGAGCTGTTCAGCTGCAGTCCTGAGAGCCCCAGAGCCGCCTGCACGGCGCGTCGCAACAGCCGCGCTTGGCCGGCGCGTCGCCCCGGGAGCATTTCCCTCGGCGCCCGCGGGAGCGTTGCAGGGGCCTCCCGATGCCCGCCCTCCCCGTCCTCCGGGTCGGCGCCGCGCTGAGCGGAGGTGGCGGCCGGCGCGCCAGGGGAGCGGCCGCGCAGGGGGCCCGGACGCCGGGGCTGACCTGGGCCCCCCGCCCCCCCCCCCGCCCCCACCGGCCACGGGCTCCCTCACCCCAGGAGGGACGGGGCGCACCCGACCCCCTCCAGGAGGTCCCGCTGCAGCTCCGGGCGCGCCTTCCCGAGGCGGGGGCGACGGCTGGTCAGCAGCGGCCGCGGGGGCAGTTCCGGCGGCTCCCGGCCTGCCTCCGGCGCAGCTGTGGCGGGCCTTGTGGGGGAGAAATGGCTGCCAACACACGCAAACACACACACGACAGACAAAGGGGATGGGGACAATTTGAGGATAATTCCACAATGCCGCGCTTTGCCTCTAGGCAGGTGCGGGAAAGTACCGCCCCCGAAAAGTCCTCAGAATAAGGTTTCCTGGGAAATTTCCGCTCCCCTTCTGCTGCAGTGGAGATTTCATGAGCTTGCCTGCCAGTCCTCCAGGACTCAGTTTAGTCAAGCGCTTCACCGCCGGAACAGCGAGGGGCGGCCTGATGCGGCATGACGGGATTCCGGGGCGGCAAAGGCCCGGGAGGCTCCCTGCATTGCAGCCTCCCTGCCTCCACCTTCAGGCAGGGCCCCGTCTCGACCAAGCGCCTTGGGAGCACCATAAAATGGCACCACATTGCTTTTTCTTTTCCAGCTTATTCTAGTAGTGTTGTGACCAAACTGAAGCCGTCTTTGATTCAGTAAAGAGGAGACTATCAGGTTTCCAAGGAAAGATCTTATGAAAGAGAGACTGAACGCCAGATCTGGTTTTAAACACCATGCATGTAACATATATTCTATGATATAAAGAATACAGAAGTATAAGAATACAGAATTGGCAATCATCAGCAGCAATATCAAGAGTCCTCATTCAGACTCGCATTCCTGCAACGCTCATACCCTCTCGTGATCCATCGAGACTGTGGGGGACCAGTTGCAGCGCTGTTCTGGCGCACACGGGAGCTGGAAAGCCCAGTCATTTTATACCTGAAAGTTGACTCTATCAGCTTAGTCCAACTGGATCGAACAGTGAACTGCCCTGAGCAGAGCTGACACACAGGACGTGCTGGTCTTTACCTTGAACACAGGCACTCTTCTCACCTTCCATTCTCCCTCTGGATGGCGCAGCTGGGCTTACCTTGTCTGTTATGCTCCATTCGCCAACCACTACCGGCCTGCTGCTCAGTTTTTTCAGTCTGGTGAGTCCCATCCTGCTTTTTCATTCTTCATGTTCTTCTCCGTCTTGGGCCTTCAGGAACCCAGGCACAGAGGAACAGTGTGAGGGGAAGAAAGTGTGGGTGTGAGAGGTCCCCTTTTTGGTTCTTTGCTTCTGACACCGGTTTGTTTTGACCAGATGGTATTTGCTTGTTCTTCTCTCCAATGCAGGGAAAAGTGGAGAAGGTTTTAGACAAAGGCATATTCCTCAGCCCCTGCACATACTTCCCTTCTGCCAGGTGATGGGAGTAAGTAGAATATCACAGGGGCAGAGGAGGAAAACAGTAACATAGAATAGAGTGAGTCAGAAGGGGCCTCCCGGCCCTCTAGTCTAATCCCTGGCTCCAGCTGGCTCCGCTCAGGAAATACCCCGCCATGGGCATGTCTAGGCTATCTCTGAACACCCTCAATGTTGTGGCCTGAACCACCTTCTGTGGAAGCCCGTTCCATACCCTCGGGGTCCAAACTCTCAGGAAGTACTCCCTGTCATCTAAAGGGAACCTGGGTTCCTTGAGGTTTGCTGTTTGAGCGTCTTCATCTGCAGGGAAGAACAGGCCTCTACCCTCCTCCGTGTGACACACCCTGGCATACCTGTATGCCGCCACCAGATCCCCTCTGAGTCCCCTCTTCTCTAGGCTGAAGAGACCCAGTTCCCTCTGTCTCACCTCATACGGCATCCCCTGCATTATGGAGATGCTAACATTTAGTTTTCTACTCTTTGACATTGCTGTCTCACCGGTACCAACTGCATTGTTGATTATTATTTGTTGGGATGGAAGGATTATACACATTATAGGAAATAAAAACAGAGGAGACACGATCCAGAGGTGCTGTTTTCTGAAATGTTTCCTGAGCTCTCTGCACTCTACATCAAATACATCTTGTTTAATGGTTTGGTGTAACCCTGCTTAATAACAAGGGTCCGATATGGCAACAAATGGCTTGATGTGTCTTATATTCACTTTGAGGGAACAGACTGACCCCCAGGTCTCTTCCACATTAGAGGTCAAAGGAAGAGTTAAGCTGGATGGATCTCCTTGTTTCCGCCTCAGTGTTCCCTCAGGCCCTGACTCCAAGCTCCCTGGAATTCCCTTGCAAGGGAGGGGCAACCAGCACCCACCTTACCCTGATTTTGCCTTTTTTCTTTAGTATCTGTTCTGAGATTATGATTAGGCATCCTGCTGCTGGTTTATTGTTTTACTGGTTTGTTGAATTTTACGGTTATAGTAATAATGGATATCAATTTTATGTGTATTTCCCATTTTGATCTGTATTATTGTGTATGCTTGCGCTGCAAACCGCCCAGAGAGCCTTCTGGCTATAGGGTGGCGTACAAATACAGTGAAGGAAGGAAGGAAGGAATGCATCACGCCACCCACGCATCTCCCAGGTCCGCAGCCTTAAATCCGATCATGGACTCGCAGAATAGTGGAGTGCGAGGGAGCCAAGGCGGCCTCCGGGTGCAAGCGCCGCTCGGGGCCGCACTCAAGGGAGAGCGGCCTCGCCGTGCAGCTGCCCGCCATCCCGGGGCCCCTGCGGAGCGAGGCCGGCGCCGTGCGGCCATTGCACCATAAAATGGCACCACATTGCTTTTTCTTTTCCGGCTTATTATAGTAGTTTTTGTGAGCATACTAAAGCCGTCTTTGATTCAGTAAAGAGGAGACTATCAGGTTTCCAAGGAAAGCCCTTATCAAAGACGGACTGAATGCCAGATCTGGTTTTAAAGACTATGCATGTAACATTTATTCTATGACATAAAGAATACAGAAGTATAAGAATACAAGTTTGGCAATCTTCAGCAGCAATATCAAGAGGCCCCATTCACACTCGCATTCCTGCAACACTCACACCCTCTCCTGATCCATCGGGACTGTGGGGGACCAGTTGCAGCGCTCTTCTTGCACACACGGCAACTGGAAAGCCCAGCCATTTTATACCTCAAAGTTGACTCTATCAGCTTAGGCCAACTGGATCGAACAGTGAACGCCCCTGAGCAGAGCTGACACACAGGACATGCTGGTCTTTACCTTGAAAACAGGCACTCTTCTCACCTTCAGTTCTCCCTCTGGATGGTGCAGCTGGGCTTATCTTCCACAGCTGTGGAATTTTGTTCAAATTGTCCCCATCCTCTGTGTGTATATGTGGTGGCAGCCATTTCTACCCCACAAGGCTCAGGAGTGATACCCCATCCGGGGCTGCTGCTGGAGAAGAAAGGACAACTGCCGGGCTGCGCACATGATGGCCGTGCTCTGACCTGTGGCAAGAGCGAAGCAAACATGGCAACTGCCGTGCAGGGATAGGAGAACACACAGGCGGGATCCATGGGGCTCCACCCTCAGGGAGGGGGCAGGATGGGGGGCCTGCCGGGCATCTGCTCCCCCTCCCCTCCTGTCAACCGTCCTGCCCCTTCCAAAGCGGCCGGTGCCCGCACTCCACCTGAGAAACTACACAAGGCAACCTTGCAGCTTCAAAGTCCTGCCTCTGTACTCAGAAAAGCAATTCTTACCGTCCCACCTCACTGCCTTGCCATAAACACATCAAAAGAGGCCTCGGTGTCAGGTGGTGAAGACCAGATGACCCCACTCCATTAGTGGGTAACTGTCAAAGTGTAATCTCTGTGTTTTATAGGCTTGCTAAAGTGCCTCCCTAACCCTGTAAGTTCACACATGTAACCTTTTTTTGTTTAAGGAACTTGGCAGCCTGTTCAAGGTAACTTTATTTTAGAAGGCTTGTCAAAAGGCATCTAATTAGAGTGAAATGTAACTTTTCTTTTTGGTGCTGTGACATGTATCCAATCACTTTCCTATCCATATCAAAGTATTCAATCACCTTTCTGAGTATTGTATTCACTCCCCTTTTGTATATTCTATATAACCCTATGGAAATTAACATGAGGTGTTCCTATTTTAGGCACCCATGGATCCATGCATTCAATTGTAAATAAACCTGTTTGCCCTGCCAAGAAACTGATTCTGAGCCTATATTGCGGATCGGTGTGACAGCTTTCTGGTGGAGAAGGTGGGGAGAAGGGACAAGAGCCCTTCTTCTGATCCTGGCGTCACAGCCGACAGGACGGAATCGGGGAGATGCTGTGCTTCCACACAAGCGACAACGGTGAGGCAGGACCCTTTGACCCTCTCTAGCCGGCACACGCTCTTTTTAGCATAGAGGATCTTTGGGTATCCTGCCAAGATACCGGCTGTGAAAGGAGGACTTCGACTTCTGCGGGGCAACAGTTTCTGGTTGGCAATTGCCTAAGGGGAACCCCATTTGGCTGGTATTACTGGATTCCAGGATGTAAGTATCTGATCAGGTCTTTTTGGGTACGGGTCTGGCTGGTGTGAGAGTTGCTTGTTGTGTGACCCTTATTCATCCCCGGAGGCTCCCAGGGTCCCTCTCAACCGATTCTTGCACAGCCGCACCGATCCTCGGGAAACTCCTGAAAGGTCGAAAGTGAGGGCGTGAGATCGGACTGAGAAACCCAGCCTAGCAGCGACTGTTGTACTGTGTGGACGAAGTGTGATTGCAGGCCAGGGGAGAGAAACTGGTTCTGATCTGTTTTGTATTGTCCCGTCCAGTCCTCAGCGACGAATCGGATGGGTGGCTTAAGCTCTAAGGGGGCACTCGTTGCCAACAGACTTGACGCCATTGCAGTGTGTTTTGAAATAGTGGGATGTGGTAGGAAAGAAGGAAGAGGATTTGTTAGGAGGAAACACGTGCAAAGGGAGATGGAATCCTGCTTATCCTGAGGGTATTCCCAGAAAAAAATAGGGAAAGAAATGAGTAAGAGATTTTTGACCTGGCTCTGCACATTTGAATGACCTCAGCACAGAGATCAAGGTACCAATCAGTGGCCCTGTACCAGATCCTCTGACTGCATCCTCATCCAAAATTGGCGCGCCTGGATGATTGATGTTGGCAAATTTTCTGAGGCAAATTATAT